GGGGGCTGTACTGGGGGCACTGGGGCTGTACTGGGGGCTGTACTGGGTCTGTACTGGGGGCACTGGTTCTGCCCCACCTCGTCCGCCAGCAGCAGCAGCGGCTCCTCGAATGCCACGGACAGCAAGGAGAGCTGGGAATGACGGCTCAGAACATGACCTGAAACCGGAATGGGATGGGAATAGTGGGAATGGGATGGGAATGGAATGGGGACTGAGGGAACGGGAATGGGAATGGGGGACTGAGACACCAGGAATGGGAAAGGGAATGGAATGGGAGTGGGAATGGGAACGGGATGGGAATGGGGATGGGAATGGGGGACTGAACCAATGGGAATGGGAGTGGGAATGGGAATGGGAATGGGGATGGGGATGGGAATGGGACACTGGGAATGGGAATGGGGACTGAGACACCGGGAATGGGAATGAGACACTGGGAATGGGAATGGGGACTGAGACAGTGGGAATGGGAACAGGAATGGGAATGAGAGTGGGAATGGGGGACTGAGACACCGGGAATGGGAAAGGGAATGGAATGGGAGTGGTAATGGGAACGGGATGGGAATGGGGGACTGAGACACCGGGAATGGGAATGGGAACAGGAATGGGAATGGGAATGAGGGACTGAGACACCGGGAATGGGAAAGGAAACAGGAATGGGAGTGGGAATGGGATGGGAATGGGAATGGGGATGGGAGTGGGGACTGAGTCACTGGGAATGGGAATGAGACACTGGGAATGGGAATGGGAATGGGGGACTGAGACACCGGGAATGGGGGACTGAGCCAATGGGAATGGGAATGGGGGACCGAGCCCACTGGGAATGGGAATGGGGACTGAGCCAGTGGGAATGGGAATGGGAATGGGGACTGAGACACTGGGAATGGGAATGGGGAACTGAGCAATGGGAATGGGGGAACTGAGTCCACTGGGAATGGGAATGAGGGACTGAGCCAATGGGAGTGGGAATGGGGAACTGAGCCCAGTGGGAATGGAGACTGAGACAATGGGAATGGGAATGGGGAACTGAGGACAGGGATGGGTTTAACTGGGGAAACTGAGGCCCAGAGAGGGTTTAAGTGGAGCCCAAGAGGGGCAAATGAGGCCCAGGGAGGGGTTTAATCTGAGCCCAGAGGGGAAACTGAGCCCCGGGGGGGGG